ATTCATGGACTGTTTTGACCAACTTAGACTTAATATCTTTCAAAACTGTTTAATATGCAAATATTTCAGGTTCATACCTTTAAAATGACTAGTTGCACTTCTCCATACGATTTTTCTACAATTGTTGGCGATTTTTACAAAACTGTCTATCACTGTAGCAACGAATACGGACCAGTCAGTGAATACGAACGTTTTCACACCAGTTAGAGACTTCTAAAAATCATAATAAAAATTATGAACAAACTAGACACATTTTCTAAACCCTCAGAAATTACGGAATCGGTGTTCGACTCCATATGATTTTTCTATAATTATTCCAAGAACATGAAAAGAAAAGATAAAACTAGAAAATTGTCAGTAACTCATTTACACCTTGTAACTTGATGAGCAAGGTGTGTATTATCATATATAAATACATGTTGGTTATATTACATGTCTTTTTACCTCATTATAAAGGTTTACATCATATACAAAGAGGATTTCTACTATTACAAAACGTCTTGATAAGCTATAATAGGTATAGTTTATGTTTCCATTAACACAACAAATATATTTGGGAAGGTTTATTCCCACAGAAAAGGGTTTTACACACTCACACACACCACACGTAAACTTGTTAACGTAAATTGTGAGGCATTCCTCTTAGTACTTCTAGAGTACGGGTTAAAATTCCTGGTAGTTATAACCAGAGTCTCTTGTAGGGAGAACGTGATAGTTGTGTATAGATCTATATTGGGTTTGACAAACCACACCTGAGCTGCATGTAACAGCTAGACCGGCAGGTCTGAGGTGATAAGTGTCATTATCTTTTTCGACGCCTGAGAAACGTCGTGGCAGGTTCATTAGTCATAGTATGGTTATAGCGACTCACATAGGGAGTTAACAACACATAAAGTTTACGGGGATTTTCTCAAATCAAAAAGGGTTTTATGTCGATTTAAAATCACTTTTTATATCAATAAGTATGGATAGTACTGTACACTTTCGGTCTTGGAATTTAAGACAACACATCACTTTTGTAAGGAAAATATTGGATTTTTCTTGGTATCACACAATTCATAACAAAGATCGGTTTCCAAACTCTTCATCTAAAAAGCTTATGAACTCACCAACTTAATTGTTGACACTTTTTCAAAACTACTTGTATTCTCAGGGAATCAACGAAACCAGGTAATCACAAGCTTTTGAGGATGGAACGCTACGGCGTTGAACAACTATTTTTATATCATGTTGTAATCAATCATTGAAATATGTAACACTTGAAACCATGTAATTCTTTTCCTTTATATTTATGATTGGTTGTATTGCTTTGATCACTGTTATACACGTTGTTATGATACTATACATGAAGTCTGCCACCCCCGGACGTTTCCGCCATCCTTGGTTTGGGGGTGTGACACAAATGAACACTAGGGTTTCCATGGGGTCATTTGGGAGGATGGAAGCTGAAGGTGGAAGGGATTATGAGAGTTAAGGTTGCTTAAATAGGGCTCAAACCCTCAATATTAGGGTTTACATACCTGCCGAGTATGCCATGCATACCCATTGTACCTACAAGGACTCATGTTCTTTTAATAAGTTACGTCATGCGTACACCCTAAGTAGGCATGAGGTAAGGACCGTTTTTGCTATAAATTGATACTTTGGGTCAAAAGGAAATACCTAATGTTTGGGTGTTACATACTTGATAATTAGGGGTGTTTTTAGCATTTCCGTCTTTTGAATTAGACAAGTAATCCCCACTGTAATGTCATAATCAATGGTTTCCAAAAGTGACGAGATTTGCCAATTTACCATAACCACCCACTAGAATTCAGATTTTCCACTATGATCCTAATTCAAATTTCTGAAGACCTTTTGGGGCACTGCCCCTCTACCCCGCCCGCCAATTTTACCATAAGCACTGTCAGCGTCTCTGCTCCTTGCACCCCGCTAGGGGCTCTGCCCCTGCAAGGGGGCGCGACCCCCTTGACCTTTGCCATTTTTTCGTACCTGCTTATAATTCGATCTTATTTATGCATGCACTATGCACACTCCGAACATATAATATAGATTACAAATTATAACCCGTTAGCTCAGATATTAGTTTCAATTACACAAAATGTTTGGTGACACATGTCACCAACAACATTCATATGAATCAATGCAATTTAATAGTATTACTATTAATTAACTGATTTGGGGTATAATGTCGTTGTAATTTGGTAAATGATTGATAATATTAATAATATGTTGTTTTCATTGGGATTAAGTCCACATTAACACAACAATACCGAATACTTTACTTTTTTATCCAATAATATCATATTTTTTATTCATGCAATAACATTTTTATCTGTTTTTCAAAAGAATTGATTTAGGACCAAAATGTGCAATATTATAAGTGGAATTCGGTTATTTTTGAGGGGATATTTTAAGACCGTTAAAGTCTAGATACACTAGATATTTGAAGGTACAAATGCATAGAAAGTATAACTTGTAACTAGGCTTTACTTCATCTCATCTATTTCATAAAAAAAACATCAGTTTTTGCTTCATGAAATAAGGAGGTCTTGAGTCTAAGACTAGAGGGAATGGTGGAGAATGCTAAGGCATGTCACATTATATATTTTACTTGCTACCTGAGTTTTTCTTAAAAAAACATATAGACTTGGATTGTGAAAAAGAAAAAAAAAATTGAGAAAAACCAATAACAAACATTTGTTTTTAGAAAAAAAAAACAAAAGAAAACACAAAAGAAAAAGGACCAATGGTAGCATTCATTCTCTTCTTTTTTTCCTCCCTCTCCTCTCGCTGGCTCACCAGGGCTTCATTCTTGGCGAGCCCCCTTGTTGTGCACCAAGGTTCGGTGTTGGCGTGTTCGGCGACCACAAGGTGAGGCATTGGCGCTTTCCACTCCTTCGAGTCTAAATGTTAACTTCTCCCTTCTTTTTGTTTGATTGTTGAGTGGTTGTTGTCTTGATTAAAATATAAACATATTGCGTTTATATGTCCCACTATGTTCCTCATTCCATGATATTGTCTCGAACTTCTCCACATTACTACTTCCGGTTTTTGATAATTAGAATGGAAATTGTTTTAATTTGGAAATAAGATCGAAATCGGTGGAATGTCTAAGATTTTAATATACTTTTTTTTCATGTACACGATGGAATTGAACATCATTGCTTTTCATTCCCTTTTTGAATAAGTTACATTGTTTTACACAATTATGACATTGTATTTTCAAAATACAATGTTCATTTAAGAAAATTTTTCTATCACAATTTGGTTTTATTTGTGTAAAATATCATCTACTGATACTTCTATTTCTTTTTTTTCTTATTTAATCATTGTTCTTTGAATCAATTTGCTATGAACTTAATAATACAAAAAATAATATGCTAAAAAACTTAATTTATGCAAAAGTAGGATATATAGATAGATAAGAATATATATATATATTATATATAGATTATATATATAGAGAGATATCTATAATAATATATATAGATATAGATATATATTATAGGTACTATTATATTATATTTTGGAACGAACAGCTTCTCCACAATATGTTTATCTGTTTATTTTAATATTTTATTATTTTCATGCTATTTCAACCTACATATGTGTGTTAATTGTTTCAGAACAACTACCATAGACCAAAAATGCAAAACCATATATAAAACTCCCAATATTTTCATTAATGGTTAAAAAATCGAAGTAGAATGTCTTATTTCTTAATACTTTTCATAATGTTTTCTTATTTAAGCATTATATTATCATCTATGCTTGTGGTTATTACCGGTAATTTATCTAAAATTCTATATTATTTTAATATAATAACTGCATAGTTTATGGGTGTTAACCTAGCTAGATTATATATCAAATTAAATATTATAGTTTATTTATGATAATATATTTCAGTTTTTTAACTAACATGACAATAAGAAAAATTATTATTCATATATGCTAGCTTGAAGAACGAACGTGCATCCTAACAAGATAGTGATATAATATAGAAAATGACCAATTCATTGTCCGACAATATATATCGAATCGAATTATGAACTGTAGTCTTCATGCACTAAAAATTATAATAAATACAAAAACTATGAAAACAATAAGTTTCCTGAAACGTGTCATTAATCGTGTATAATCCATGGTTGAGGGGTGCATGTTGAAAGGAATGAGATATTTGCCGTATAAAAAAATACATTTTTAAATTATAGTCAGTTTTATTAAATATTCTAATACAATATGTTAAATATAATGATTATAAAAATAATTACACAAAAGAGGGTCAATCACGTAAATATTTTAAACTGTGTAGTCTTGTTTATATTAAAACATTCTCATATTTCACAACGTTTATAAGTCTTGTAAAATTGACAATGTTTTGTTTTATACAAAGTTTCCATGTTAAAATGATTCAATTCTTGATCACACAAATAATATTCGTAAGTATATCTGGTTGGAACCAACCATGTCCCGGACAATTTCGTTATTTAGGTTCAAATGTTTTTTTTCTCCTATTTTTCTTTGTATGGGAACAATAAAATAACAATCTAAAAAATATTGAAGTTAAATCCATGATATCATGAAAAATATATTTGTTGATACCGCAGTAATATGTAATAGCATAAAGATTATACAACTTTTTTATAGTAGTGTATTTTAAGATGCATTTTTATCTACATTCAAACAAAAATCCAAACCTCATTGTAAGATTTTGATCTTTCTAAAAAGCTAGAACAATGTTTCAAAATGATTCATTTTTTCGATGTGGTGTTTTCGTTTTTTGTGGTTTTGATTTTATGTGCACATCTGCAAATCGTAAACGAAAAAAAATTCAAAATTTGGTATATCTTTTGTATTAAAAAAATTGGTTACTTTAAATACAAAATTTATACAAAGAAAAATACATCTCCACTCCAAGGAGACTGTTTTTGTCAACCCCACCACCGGGTGGGGTTTAAGCCTGTTACCGTTATTCCTTCTCTTTCTAGTTTCTATATATAAACGTATGCTTTCTCTTTCTCTCTCTAAAAAACCTTACTTTCAAATTTCAAACATGGCTTCCACCTTCCTCCTCCTTCTCTTCTTCATCACCACCACCACCACAGTCACCGCCCAAACTCCTCCAGCACCTGCACCATCACCATCCTCCGCCACCTGCAACGGCGTCTTCCTATCCTACTCATACAGTTCCGGAGCCCAAATCCCACCAAAACTCAAATCCGACCCCTCCAAACAACCTTACCGCTTCAAATCCACACTCTCTGTACTCAACAACGCCGCCGAGGAGCTTAAATCATGGAGGGTTTTTGTTGGATTTCAGCATGATGAATACCTGGTGTCCGCTTCTAACGCTGTCATTGCCGACGGCTCCGCTACTCTTCCTGGTCCGGTCGGAAACGGGACAGTTTTCGCTGGGTTTCCGAATTCTGACCTCAAAACCGCCATTGAGACTGCCGGAGATCTGACTCAAATGTCCGTGCAGGTGAAATTTCTTGGTACACAGTTCGGAGTCGCGTCACCGGATGTTCCCATGCCTAATAACATCTCTCTCGTGAACGATGGGTTTATCTGTTCTGTACCTACTATGCAAGGTAAACTCATTGCAATTTCGAATTCATTCATCTAAATTTGATTTCATAATTTCATTTGACATAGAAATGATTCAATTGTTTTGATTTTTCAGGGATTAGAGTAATGGAAGTTTGTTGTATAAAAGATCCAAACGCAATAACGAACGTAACTCTCCCCGACGAGTTTCTTCCTCGGCAAACCGGCGACCTGACGATCATGTACGACGTGATTCGCACCTACGAATCCAATTACTGGGCCGCCGTCACCATCGAAAACCACAACCCTCTCGGCCGCCTCGATAACTGGAATCTGACATGGGACTGGATGCGAGATGAGTTCATCGGAGATATAAAAGGTGCGTATCCCTTCACTCGGGATTCATCCAGTTGCATATTCGGCCCACAGGGTGCGTTTTACACATCAATGGATTTCTCCAACGTTTTGAACTGTGAACGCCGACCAACATTGATCGATTTACCCCTCGAGATGACCAACAATACCCAAATCGGAAACATCCCGTTTTGTTGCCGGAACGGCACCATCCTCCCGCCGACGATGGACCCAAGCAAGTCAAAATCGGCATTCCAGATACAAGTCTACAAAATGCCACCGGATATCAACCGGTCGGAGCTCGTTCCGCCGCAAAACTTCAAGATAAACGGCCGGTTGAACCCGGATTATAACTGCGGCCCGCCGGTACGAGTCAGCCCGAGTGAGTCACCGGACTCTGGCGGACTACCTGGTTCGACGGCGGTTTCGAGCTGGCAACTCGTCTGTAATATAACTCAACCTAAAGGTTCGAGTCCACGATGCTGTGTGTCGTTTTCGGCGTATTACAATGAGTCGATTATCCCGTGTCCGACTTGTGCTTGTGGCTGCCGGAATACGAATCCGGGAACGTGCAGCGCCGCCGCACCGGCGCTATTTCTTCCGTCGCAGGCTCTTTTAGTTCCGTTCGAAAACCGAACTGCACTGGCCACCGCTTGGGCTCACCTGAAACACCGAAACGTACCGAGTCCGTTGCCATGTCCGGACAACTGTGGAGTTAGCATCAACTGGCACCTGCTCACGGACTTTCGCGACGGATGGTCTTCCCGGTTGACTCTGTTCAATTGGGAAGATGAGGCTTTCGCCGACTGGTTTGTGGCGGTGGAAATGGACAAATCTACACCGGGGTTCGAGAAAGCGTACTCGTTCAACGGGACGATTCTGGAGGTGAACCGAAAGAACGACACGGTTTTGATGCAGGGTCTTCCCGGACTGAACTATCTCGTCGGAGAAGTAGATGGGGCAAACCCGGAAAAAGATCCTCGGGTACCTGGAAAACAGCAATCGGTGCTTTCGTTCACGACGAAGAAGATGTCGGGGATTAATGTGGCCGGCGGCGATGGGTTTCCGACTAAAGTTTTCTTCAACGGGGAGGAGTGTGCGCTTCCGGGAATAATTCCGACGAATGATTCTCACCGGAAGAAGTTGGAAGGAGTGTTTTCAGTGGTTTTAGCGATTATTGTATTGGTGTTAATGCAGCATTGACATGACATCCATTGATGTCGATTTTCGATTTCTTGATTTTTTTCTTTCGAATGATTTTGGGTCGAATTTTGTTGTATAGAAGTAGTTTTCTATGTATAACTTTTATTATATATGAATCCCACGTATTTTGAAACATATGGTATTCTTATGTATTATAGATGGATTGTTTTCTAAAAAAAGTAAAATTTAAAACTTATTTGCTTGCGTTCTTATTAATCACAAAAGTGATATAAATACAAGGAATAATGACATGAGAGGTAATCAATTTTCAACTTTGTTCATATTTAGTTACTGAATTTTTTTTCGTGCTTGATTTTTTTATGAATTATTTGAAATTGTTCATATTTTACCTATAAGGGTAAATTGTATGTGAACAATTTTAAATAATTTAGGGGTAAATCAAGCACAAAAAAAAAGTTTAATGGCTAAAGTTTGTTACCCTTTCAAGCCATTATCCTATAAATAGTTCTAAATATTATTAAGAATGAACCCAAGCTGAGTATGAATGTCACAAAAGTGAGGATGTTGTAGTATTCGTGTGATATACCTTTATTGTGTAAAGTACTAAAAACAACACTTAGAAATACAATAGAAGCGCCTTTAATCATATAGAAATTGAAGAAATATACTTAGGACATAGGCAACGGTTTTCACTCCATATAGTGGAGACGATCGTTGTAGATCGTGCAAGGACGAGAGAACATATGATAACTAAGCCTGAAGATAATACAGTGTTAAATTTGAATGAAGTTTTTCTCTTTACAAAAACACGAGCTTTGATTAGAAAGTATGGATGCATAAGATCAAGGTCGTGAGTATGAGTAGTCTAGGTGCTAGTTGCCTTTACATTGTTTATGCATTTTGCCTAGTTTTCACTGTTTTTACTTTCAACTTGTTTTGTCGATATTTTTCTTCCTAGTTATTATTTGTATCTACATTTTCTATTTGTATGTTGGTTCTATACGTACTTTCTCACCATGCTCCTTTTGATTTTCAATTTATTTTTCGTTTTATTGCTCGTATATGTATCTTTCTGCTTTTGTGAAACTCTACTGATTATTTCTTCTTTGTGGGTTGGCGTTTCAATTATACGTGAATAAAAAAACTCTAGTTAAAAGTTTATATCATTGACTAAGATTAAAGCAATAAACTACAACATAGTTATGCGATATGCATTCTATTATGTAATACTTCTTATAAACACAACACAAAACAAATTGTAGTGACTGAAACCAAAATTATTAATCTAAGTAATTGCTACCAATAAGCAAAACAAACTAAGGGATTATTACAAAAATGGATAATGACTTGAAAGGGTAACAAACTTTCAACTAGTTCATATTCACTCATTGAACTTTTTTCGTGATTGATTTCCCATGAATTATTTGAAATCTTTATATTTTACCTTTATGACCGGTTGCTGACCAGTTGTAACTGGTCATAAGGGTAAAATATGAACAATTTCAAATAATTGAAGGGTAAATCAAGCACGAAAAAAAATTAGTGACTAAATGTGAACAAAGTTAAAAGTTCGTTACCCTCCCAATTCATTATCCCTAACTACAATACATGGTATCCTTTATATTAAGGAAAGATAAACACTATATATATATATATATATATATATATATATATATATATATATATATATATATATATGTGTGTGTGTGTGTGTGTGTGTGTGTGTGTGTGTGTGTGTGTGTGTGTGTGTGTGTGTGTGTGTGTGCGCGCGCTAATAGTTATAGTGGGTTGAATGAATTAGCTCCTAGTTTCTTTAAGACAAAACTGCAAAAATGGTCCCTCGTGTATGCATTTTTTCTGATGTTTAGTCCAAACCTTGACTTTTTTGACTTCATGGTCCTTTTGGCCATGTTTTCTATGTGGTTTTAGTCCCTCTGAAAACTAAAATTACTGGAATACCCCTATGTATTTATTTTTATTTTTCTTTCATTCTTTATCTATTTAAATAATTAAAAATAATAAAAAAAAAACTATATCTCTCTCTCACTCTCTCTCTCTCTCTCACATGCCATTATCTTCCCACACCGATGAACCCAAATCTGATAAGGTAGTGTCGAAATTTGATCAAGGAAAAAGCCATGATTCAATAGACACAGAGATGAACTATTATTCAACACACATACATTGATGAACCCTGAAAAAAAAATCCTAAGTTCTCAGATCCGAAAAACATATTCAACGAATAACACATCGATTCAACAAACTGCACACACTGATTCAACTTGTTATGAGTTTTCACATACTGATGAACTTGATTCAACACATACACATACGCTGATGAACACAAATATCGAACACCAGACCGACCTGTTGCACCTACGATCAGACACATCATCCTCCTTCAACAAACTGCACACATTGATTCAACTTGTTATGAGTTTTCACATACTGATGAACTTGATTCAACACATACACATACGCTGATGAACACAAATATCGAACACCAGACCGACCTGTTGCACCTACGATCAGACACATCATCCTCCTTTATCTCCCAGCAGTCCCCCACTCATGTACAAACCATTTTTGGAATCGATTTTTTCAGATACAAAAGGGGGAAACATCACCGGTCTGACCTAAAATCAAAGTTAAACCTATAATAAAACCTGTTTGCAGAGCCGCTGAGTTCCCCACCCACATTGGTCAGTCTCTGATCAAAGAAGCACAATGCTCTAGCACCTGCACCAGTAATGGCGTCATCACCTGCTCGCTCCTACTGAATGTATTGGGTCGAGCATCGATTCCCCTTCTCTGTTCAAGTTCTAAAAAACATAACCAAAAACCTATCCAATGAACACTAAATGGGTTGCAATGGATTGGGGGTTTGTTTACAAGAGTCAAGTACACGATGGAACAAAAATTGCAGTAAAAAGAATGGAAGCGGGAGTTATATTGATGAATTCCAAGCATAAATAGCTGTACTTTCTAAAGTTCGTCATTAGTGCTTGATGGAGAGAAATCGGTGAGTTCATGTGAGGATTTAGGGCAAAGAAGGGAAGGAGCAGGCGTATTGGCGGCGATGAGAGGGAAAACGGATTAGGGCAAAGAAAGGAAGGAGCAGGCGACGACGGTGCGGGAGGAGGAAGCAGATTGCAGTCGTGTGGTGAGGGTGAATGAAGAAGCGTCAATGATGATGGGTTATTCGAGGGTGGAGATCATCGGAAACATTGAGTCTTCAGTGGTTTATTTGAGAGGTTCAATAAGAACGAAGAAGGTATGAAAGAGAGAGAGAGAGAGAGAGAGTTTTATTATTTTTTAATTATTTAAATAGATAAAGAATAAAAGAAAATAAAATAAAATACATAAGGGTATTATAATAATTTTAGTTTTCAGATGGACTAAAACCACATAGAAACATGGCCAAAAGGACCATGAAGCCAAAAAAATCGAGATTTTTCTTTAAATAAGGTTTGAAAAATGAAATCGCTAAGGTGCTGTTTGTTTTTTGGAAAAAACCTCTTCAGTCCTCTTATTGCTGCGCGGCGCAGCACACGCGCAACACTTTTCATCTCGCAGCTGTTTGTTTTTTAGAAGTCTTCGGAGTCAAAAACATATGCGTGTGCTCTGTTTGGCGCAACCCTTGTACTACCTCTTCCAACCTTTTCTTCTTTTTTTCTTACTGAAATTTTGATTATATGTTGTTGAAATTTTATTTCATCTTTTTTTTTCGTTTTTTTTATTTATTATTGTTGATTTTTTTTTTCGTTTTTTTATATTCAATAATAATAATTTTTTGATGAAATATCATTATTTTTTACTAAAATATCTTTATTTTTTGTTGAAATATTATTATTTTTTACTGAAATATCATTAATTCTTGCCGAAATGTTATACATTATTAAATTTTACGTATTAAAAAACTTTTTTCGGTTTATAAAATTAATTTATTTTAATTTTTTAATATCTGCAGCAGCATGCAGATGTTAAAAAAACAAACACGCTTCTTATTACAGTCTGCAGCCGTTTGGTCCATCTCTTCTACTGCAGAGGGTTGCAGAGGTGGTCCGCAGACTTCATTAATTTTTGCTTCAGAAAATCAAACATCACCTAATACTCTACATGAAAATTAATTACCGTAATATGTTGAGAATATTAATAATTGTAAAAACTCTTATATATATGCCAAAAAAAAGTTTAAAAGAAAAAGAAAGTATACAATCTTATTTTGTGTATTATATAAGACGTGTTTAGTGAAAAACTAATTGATACCTGAACCTATATCTTTTTGTTGTTATATAAGTATTTGGTAAAATAACTGAAACCTTTTGAAATGTGTAAAATTATATATAAAATTGTTTAAGAAAGATAAATATATAAATATATTTGACAAAACTGCAACATTGGTCATGTGGTATTCAAAAAAACTTTGGATAGGGTTCAAAAAGTTTCCAACTTGCATGGAAAATCCAAAATCAAAACATTTCCATGATTTTGGTCCAAAAAAAAATAAAAATACGATTATGCCCTTTTATTTTATTTTTTATATTTTTGTTATAATTATTCTAATACTATTTTAATTAAAAAATAAAGAAAAAAGGAAAAAAATTATCCCCCACCCCACCCACCGTTCTCTCTCTCTCTCTCTATCTCTCTCTCTCTATTTCTCTCTCTCATCCTTCTTAACACTCGTCGTTCTCACCAAAATGTATCACCAGAGTTCATAAAACAAGTTTGTTGCCCTTCACCAAAACCTCTCGCCGGAGTTCATCACCATCTCTCCAGAAATCTGAAGTCTGTATAAAATATTGAACACTCTTGTTCCTCTTTTCTCGTCGGTGACACTTGTTTTCTCCGACCAACAAACCCCAGTGAACCTAATTTTTCTCCGGCCAACAAACTCTAACAAACCATATTTTTCAAGACCATTGCATTCGATGTCAATAGCAAGATCCATGTATTTGACTTTCTGGATGGAGCTCTTCAATTTCTGGATCGCGTGTGCAGTTTCAAGAGTTTGGTTTGGGGATTTATGCTCACTGTGTTTGATTTCAGAGAATTTTGATTCAGATTCATCAGGTCCCGGTGTTTGATTTTTGTTTAGG